TCCCGCGGCGTCCGATTGGGCGGGGCGGTGACCTAGGTCACAGGAATCTCCGTCACCTCCCCTGGCCCGCCTCCCAACGCGAGTCTGTGTATTTTGATTCATTTATGTATTGGTCAATCCAGGGAGTCCTTAATATTATTGGACAAGAGTCGAGTCAGTCACTCAAGAAGGGGGGCGGGGGCAGAGCGGAGCCAGTAAGTTCCTCTCCCATAGAAAGTGCTGATTGGACAAGCATTTGTTTTCCCTACGGCTAGTTGGTTCTGGGAGGCTTTCCCCGCCCAGAAATGTGATCACGTAGTCGTCAACTTTAACCCAGGATGTCTACTCCCTGACTTCCCCCTAGCGAAGGAGCGCGGCGCTTGGTTCCCCTAGCAACCGGGCTCAGCGAGGAGGCGCAGGCGGCGGACAGTGCCGGCAACTCTGAGAGCCCGTGGCCGAGAGGCTGCAGGAGGACTTGACCTTTTCCCGGAGGAGTCCGCCGGCCGCCCCCCCCCCCCCGGGGGGAGGTCCCCTGGCAGCCCCTCCCGGCCGCACGCCGATCCGGGGCCTTCAGGCCTTGTGGGGAGAGAAGCTGAGGAAGCCTTCCCTCCGGGCGCATGCCCCCAAGAGACCTTTGAGGTCCCACCCCCGGCCTCCGGGCCAGAGAGAGGTACCCGGCCCAGCGATAGATGCTTCCTCAGGAGGGCATTACTGACCCTCTGTCCGACCTCTCAATGCTGCTAACTTGTTCCTGTTCCTTAGACCTAGACTTCCTCTTGGTGAAGGCTTTTGGCTTGGAATGTGGATGCCCGGGTCCATGTCTGTCCCTTGTCAGCAGCTCCCTTCCCGGGCCTCAGTTTCCCTGTCTGGGAAATCAGGGCATTAGGGCTCCCTTCTCTAATGGCTCTCAGAGCTGACCTGTAATTTGATCATGAACGTGCTCTAGCTCGGAGTGAGCACTCAGTAAAGGGTGGGGTTTCTCTTATTAATTCACGGCCAATAGGCGCTCTATTTTCCAGGTCCAGTTGACCCCAAGGTCTTGTTTCGCAGGACAATTCAGAATCTGTTTCTCTGTGAGGAGGTGTAAGGTTCTCTGCTGCTTTCCCCGCCCACCACAACACTATTGTCAGGCAAGTCAACAGCAACCCGGGCTGGGTGGTGAATTACTGATAAAACCCCCTTGGGAAGGAGTGTTGGGGTTTTGGCCCCGACCCCGAACAGCTGTGAGAAACTGTGTGAACTGTGACAATGATCCACAGTGTGCCTGGGCACAGTTGAGTCGTGATTAAGAAAATGGGCTCTGGAGGCCTGTCCTCCTGCCTCTGCCATGTACTAGATGTATCCACGTGGGCATGTAACTTGACCTTTCTAACCTGCTTCCATTTTCTTACCTGAAAACTGCGGAGAATCGGTCCTTCATGTAAACTAAGTTCCTAGAGGTCTCTAAAATCCACATCTTACCTCCACTCCCGTCACCTCTCACCTCACGACTCTTGCTGTTCTTGGTACTACAAGCCAGAATGAGCTTCTTAAAATTAAAGTCTGATCACGCACGTCACTGCCCTTAGTAAGCCCCAGGAGCTTCCTGGGGATCCTAGGATAACCGCCACACTCCTGCAGGCCTCTCCAGCCTCGCATTGCTTCAGCCACAGTGGAACCTGTCTCCTCCTCTCCCACCTCAGGACCCTCACCACGCAGACCCCTTTTCCTTCTTTCCTGCTCATCCTCCAGGTCTCAGCGGGGTCTCCCCTGGCCAGCACAGGTCCCTGCATGTATGCTGTCACAGTCCCCTACACCTACAAACTTGTCATGGTTTGTAATTAAAGATTTGTATAATTGTCTGATTCAGGTCTGAAACAGACGTAAGGAGATCAGTTTTATTCACAGTGTGTAGTGACTACTCATTACACGTATGTGGACTAAATGAATGATCTTAAACAAATGTAGGAGGGAAGAGTTACCCATCTCTTACAGGTGGGAGGTCAAAGGCTTGGAAGGTGAAGTTAGTTGCCAAAGGATGCAAGTCCTGCCCTTGTGTGTGTAACAAACACAACCATTCCACATCACTCGGTGATTGTTGGGCCTGATGGAAAGCAGGCTTGACCTGTCACAGGGGCCAGACCCTGGTGGGGTGGGAGTGATGAGAAGTCAGCCAAAGTTTTGAAATCAGAGTTAAGCATCGTTTCCCAAAGTACAGCACTTTTCTTTAAAAAAAAAAAGCACAAACACTTTCAGGTAACATCTGCTAAATTCAGCACGTTAAAATTTCCCCAAAGACAAGTTGGGGTCAAGTTATGTGAAATCTCAGAAAAAATTGTTTCAGAGGACGGGGAGCTGGAGGACTGGAAATGTCCTCGGGAGTTGAGTCAGTCACCCTAAGGAGATGGAGCAGAGTCTGGGAGGCAGGAAGGCACCAGAGGAGAAGGGGGAGGGTGGGTGGAGGTGGGGGCAGGAGGAAAGGCCCTGTGAAAGTTAAAGGCCCTGGGACCATGGGTCATGGACACTCCAGAAACAGGAGATGCACATTTGCATAAGCTGCACAGCAAGGGGAGGGGAGGTGGGCAGTCTTGGAGACCAGGTGCAGGATGGCGAGGCCCACCCTGTTTCGCCCAGCGTCGGGAGTGTCCCCAGTCGCGCTCAGTGGAATGAAAGGCAGAATGCGGGGCTGCCCAGCATCAGGGAGCGGCGGGGCAGGCAGGCCTGGTGTGGGGACGCAGGGGCCAAGGCAGAAGGTGAAGCCAGCAGGGAGGTGGGAACGGGGTGGAAAGTCAGAGGAGAACTGAGTTTCCAGGGGGTCCGGAGGCAGAATCGGGGAGTTTCCAGGGGCGCATGCCCTCCTGCAGGGCCCAGCCCTTCCGATGCTCTCACTAAGACGGCTGGCAACGATGGAGTGAGGCCAGGCTGCCCAGGGCCATGGCTCTGTGCGGCCACGAACAGTAGCCCAGGTCCGCCCACGACTGACCCACCCCACAGACCCCCCTTAGCATCTCAGGCAAATCCCTTTGGACCATTAGCAACAGACACCTCCTGGGGTTAGTTTAAGGAAAAGAGAATTTAATGTGCGAAGTCCGGACACTCCCGGGGCCTGGGGTCGGGACAGGAGGGGCCAGGAAGCCAGCGAGGAGAAGGCAGCCTCTGTGTCAGTCTGTCCATCTTTTCACCTTTATTGCTGGATCAGATTCCCATCTCTGCTTGTGTCTGTCCATCTGCCCCAGGGCCTCTTACTCTCACTCACCATGCACCTGGCCAGCTCTGATGGGCACTTTGTCCTCTGGCCGCAGCTCACGTCTCTCGGGGGGGAGGGGGACACGAATGACCAGCTTGGGTTGGTGTCCACCAGTGGCCACATGCTGGGCAGCTGCGGTTGAGGGCGGGGAGCTTACAGACATGGCCACCTGGAGGGGGTGAGGCTCTCAGGGAAGGGGGGCCTCCGAGGATTGTGGTCGGTGGTTGGTGCCAAGAAACCCGACGAGGGCGGGCGCAGAAAGCCAGAGGCCTGAGGCGGCCACAGCTTTGCATGCAGCTCAGCTCCACAGGCTGAAGAGAGCCATGTGGACACCGAGGCCAGGGTGGTGTCACAGCCTGCTCGTGGGGCCAGGTGGGCGGGGATCCAGAGAGGCCCCGGAGCAGCCCGGGTACAGCAGCGGGAGGGGGCCTCCTTCAGAGTGCCGTGGCCGCCGCACTGCCCCACGATGCTGTGGAAGCACCCCAGCCAGACCCCGCCCTCAAAGGGAGGCAGGAGCAGCGGCCTGGGCGAGGAACGTGGTGTTTTCCAGGGAGGATGAACCGGCTGTGCGACGTGGAGCCCAGGGTGATGGATGATGAGATGCTCAAGCTGGCCGTCGGGGAGCAGGGCCTGCGAGACGAGGCCGGGCAGCTGGCCAAGCAGGAGGGCATCCTCTTCAAGGACGTCCTGTCCCTGCAGCTGGACTTCCAGAGTGCGTATCCTGGGTGGGGCGGGGCGGGGTGGGCACAGGGGTCCCCGATTCCATGCGTGGGCCGCGGCCGGCGGTCGCATTTGCGCTGCCTGGGTCAGAAGGCGCGGTACCAGCACGGGCGGTTTTAGAGCCTGATACCGAGTGTGGGTAGCACTTGAACAGCCACAACACTCCCAATTCTGAGTAAGAACAAAGCAAGGTAACATCCTCCCGTTCCAAGTCTTAAGTGACCCCCCAGAGACCACACTGGTCCCCAAAGGTGGGGGGGGGACCTAGGAGGGTGGTCCACGTGGCCAGGAAGGTGCGGGGTCGGGGGAGGGCCATGTGCTGGGGGAGCAGCTTCAGAGGAGGTACTGGAAACAGAAGGGGGGTCCCCTCTGGGGTGCAGGACAGCCTGGGGGGGAGATGTGGCTTGGGACCAGGCAGGTCCTCAGCACCCCACCTGTGAACCGGCGTGACCGGAATCCGTGTCTCAGGCGCTGGCCGGGAGGACAAGACCAGATAGCACAGGCCCGGTGCCCGGCTCACTAAAGGAGGCCCGCGAGTGGGGCGGAGGGTATAGGTGAGGAAGCAGGACGGGTGGGCGGGGGTCCCGTGACCCCTCATGTCCGGCGCGGGCGGGTCACAGCAGAGGGACCGGGCTGATTCACGCTCCTGCTGTGTCCTGGGCCTCTACGCTGGCCTGCCGGCTCACCCAGTGACCACGAGCGGCTACTGAGTCAGCCCGGGGATGTGGTGCGCACGGCAGGCCCGGGCCGGCCTCACGGAGCCCGCAGGCTGCCCAGAGCAGGGAGGGCCCCCGAGGCTCTCGGCGGGAAAGGGCTAAAGGGGAGGCAGAGTGGTCTTCAGACCTCCTTCTGCTGCCCCTCCCCCACTACATAGCCGATGCCTGTCCCGGGCAGGGCGCTGCTCTGCGCACCAGGGACTCGTGGAGCTGACCTTCGAGGGAGGGGAACACGTGTGCTGTTGAGAAAAGTAGAGGCAAGAGAGGAGAGGAGGGGAGTGGGGTGCAGTGAGGTCGGGCGGGGATCTGCTAGCATCAGCCTCGGGGGCCGAAAGAAGGCGTCTGGCTCTGAGCGAGTGAGGCAGGAGCCCAGGGAGGTCCTGAGCAGAGGAGGGTCAGGGAGCCATGACAATGGGCTGCACCAAGCCAGTGGCAGCGGAGGCAGATCCCTTGTCCGTGTTGAAGATTGAATGGGCTTTTTGGGCAGCCCTGTCATGCTGTCAAATACATCTGGCTCTTTCGTGTCGTTCTGGCTTTTCCACGTGAACTGCTGAGGCCTAGAGAAGAGCCAGCACACAGGTGCGCCAGGCGGGGCGCCCAGGGGTGGGGGAGCCGCCCAGGGCTGGTGCCTGCAGGGCCAATCACAGCCAAGGCCGTTGGTCTAAGGCCAGGGCCAGAGAAGGAAAATCCAGACCAGGAGATCCGGGGGCGGGGCTGGGCCTTGCCCCAGAAGCACAGGTGGGGCTGGTTTCATTCCAAGAAATGTGACCACAGAGCTGGGGAACAAACTCCATCCCAGGCAGCCCTGGGGACCGGGAGGGACAGGGCCCTGGGTCAGAGAAATGCTGCCCACCGCCCCCCCACCGAGACCCAGCTTGGGGTGGGCAGCTGGGAAGGGCGCCTGCCCGTCTAAATAAATGTTGAAACGGCTGCCCCGAATGTGTGGCTATTAAGGGCTTTTTTCTTTTCTTTTTTTTTTACTCCTTTCACTTCTATGTTATTTCAGTTCTTTTAATAGGCATACTCTAACTTTATGTTTTGGGAATCATTAAAGAAGCAAACATAGAAAAAGGGGCATGTAAACAACAGCTCTCTGTGGTTTCTAAGAGAACCGGAGACAAGGTCAGGCCTCTAGAGTTTTACACACACAGTGTGTGCTTGTCACACTAAGCATTACTCAGAGCTCCCGGCAGCCGTGACAGAGACCAAGCTCCGCCTGGCTCAGGAGCAAGGGGATGGGTCGGCTGCCTGACCAGGGGGGTAGTCTTCAGCGGCCGTAGGGTCAGGCACTTCAGTGACGTTGGGAGCTGTCTCTGTGGGGCGATTCATCCCCTCCCCGTATATGGACATTCGGGGCCTCATCCTCGGGCACTGGCACAGCGTGTGATTCCAGGTAGAGACATTGCAGGGTCAGTGGGCACAGACATTAACTATTTCCGTCCATGTGGCCAGAGCAGCCTCCAAATGGCTCCACTAGTTGACTGGCCACCCCTGCAGCCTCAGTTCTATTTGTCACCCTGGGGGGCCCTGCCCGTGCCCTGTGTCCTGAGCCCAGGTGTTCCGAGGGGGAGCCCTGTGAGTCCCCGCCCTGGAGGCCCTGCCCCCCTCTACCCTGCGCGGGCCCACCCGGCCCTGTGGTGGCCCCGGACGGCAGCACCAACAGGGACCCAGAGCTCCGCGGAGTGGGGCCCACACCTCCAGGGCTCCCTGCGCTCCGGGGAAGGCAACGGGGCTCTGGGGCCTCTCCCACGGTCAGCATCAGTCATCCGGCCCCCAAGACCCTGGAACTGTACCCTAACCCTGACCCGGGCCGGACCCAGCCAAAGCGTGTCCAACATCGTTTCAGACATCCTCCGCATCGACAGCCTCTGGCAGTTTGAGAACCTGCGGAAGCTACAGCTGGACAACAACATCATCGAGAAGATAGAGGGCCTGGAGAACCTCACACACCTGGTCTGGCTGGGTGAGGCCCCCGTGTGTCCCCCAGCCCGCAGTGACGCCTCCCGAGGCTGCCCCCCGGGTAAACTTCCCTGCCAGCCCCGTGGCGGCCCCGGTGCAGCCGGAACTCCATCTGCTGGGAGCAAGGAAGCCTGGGCCTGTGCTGGGCAAAGCTCAGCACCTATGTGCTTGGACACCGCAGGGCAGAACATCTGCCCCAGCTGTCAAACCTCCCAGTCCGGGAGGGCTCATGGCAGCAGCTTGGACTCCGTCTAGGTACTCTAGACTCAGGGTGACAGATAACTGAGGGCTCTGCTATTTGGGGGGCCCAGATCAAACCAGAACTAACCATCCCCGTGCTAGCGTGCACTGAGCACTTTCTACCTGCTAGGCATGGCCCGTGCGCTTTCCATGTGAGGCCTTCTAACCACACAGCGACCCCACTGTAGACGGGAGCACACTGAGGTCACAGCGAGCAGGGGGCTAGCCTGACTCCAGGGGTCCAGTCCTCACTGCCAAGGCGGCAGGGGCTTTGCCGAACTGCGTCCACCTGCCAGCCTCGGGCAGCACCCTCACGTCTGGCAGCGGGCACCTAACGAGGGGCGGGGCTGGCTGGGAGCTCCCGAGCCCACTGAGAGGGCTTCTTTGGCCCTCCCAGCCACCCTAGGGGCTCCAGAGGCCAGGGCACCGCCCAGAGCTCCGTGACCAAGACGCAGCAGAGCTGGGACGAGACCCACGCCTGTCTGATCCCAAAGCCACGTCCCCTCCATCCTGTCAGGCTGCTTCCCAATACAGGCAACCTGGGGCATCGAGGTCCCTCCCAGCTTGCAGGACACTCAGCTGTGGTTGTGAGGATGGCCGCCAGACCACAGCAACCCCCTCCGGGGCAGGATTACAGTGTCATCTCACGGGTGCAGAGGCTGAGGGGCCGGTGGACTTGGAGCTGCACGTACTGGCAGCAGAGCAGCCCAGAGCCAAGTCTCCTGACTGCCAGGCCCAGGTCTCACCCAGACAAGCCCTCCTGGCAGCCCAGCACCTGTTAATGCTGAGTCCCGGGCTCGGCGGCCCACCTGCACCACCAGGAGATGGACGAGGAGAGGGGGCGGGTCAGCCTAGACCCTGAGCCTCACCCCCTCTGAAGGCCCTGCAGTCTCGCAGACATAAAACAAGGGTCATGGGTCCCCGTGAGATGCCCCTGTGATGCCCAGTGTTCTGAGGGGGGGCGGCAAGAGAGCCGGAGGGGAAAGTTCTGGCAAGAGGTCAGGTGCCCCTCAGAGAGTCAGAAGCCTGCCTTTGTCCAGCCACGTGCGCTGCCCCCGCCTGCCAGCACAGGCCTGGCTGGTGGCCCGGTCAGCTGTCCCAGCGCGGGGGGCAAGCGGGTGCCGGCTGGCACTGCCCCCAGAAGCTGACTGTCCACATCTTGTCCCAGCTTTACACTCAGGCCCGTCCTGTTGGTAGCTTGAAATTGGCCACAGTGGGAGCATTTACACCACCGAAGTCAGCAAGAGCTACAGATCAGGGCTGCCCGTGCCCACCCTCTTGTTAAACGTTTACCAGCTCGCCTGCAAAGAGCAGAGCCCGGCTGCAGGCGCGAAAGGAAGCAGGCTGACCCGGTTCAGGTCCCGCTCTGCCAGCGTGCTAGCCGGTCCTGTACTTTCCCTCCGCCCTCTGCACCCTACCTTCCTCACGTGCGCTTGATCTTGAGCACGTGACCACCAGGCCCCTTTGAATCTTGGCTCCCTCAGCCCTAAGATGCAGGCGATGGCAAACGAGGAAATGGCCAGGGAGGGCCTGGCATAGGGAGAGTGTCCCGGGTGAGCGTCCCCTGAGGCGCCAGGGAGGCCAGACCGACGTCCTGAGTCCCCTTTTCACATGAGGGCTTTAACTGAAGCTCTTGAGAAGTTCCCAGTTTGGGCCTCTGGGCCAACGGTGTTCAAGGACACCAACCCCAACCAAACCCCCAAACCCGTGGTGGCAGAAAAGCAGTTTTATTCCCAAAGATGAGAAACTTGGGCTAGAGGGGGTCCTGAGGTCTCAGCCAGGGCTCGGCCTGGAGTTTGGGGCAGCCCGGCCTGCGCGGGTCTCCCCCACCCCAAGGTGCGCTGCCCCGACCCACCAGGGAGTTTCCATCCCAGAACGAGGGCCGCACAGACGCGAGCCTTCGCCCGAGTCCGGGGTCAGGAAGGTGGCAGCAGAGCCGGGGGGCCGGGGGGGTTGGATTCAGGACAGTCACCCTAACCCGGAGCCATCCTCCAGACCTGTCCTTCAACAACATCGAGGCCATCGAGGGGCTGGACACGCTGGTGAACCTGGAGGACCTGAGCCTGTTCAACAACCGGATCTCCAAGATCAACTCGCTGGACGCGCTGGTCAAGCTGCAGGTGCTGTCGCTGGGCAACAACCAGATCGACAACATGATGAACGTGAGCGAGGGCGCTGGGGGGCGAGGGGACCGCAGGCTGAGCCTCCGACCTTCCCCTTGTCCCAGAAAAGCCAGAATTCCAGACTCGATGATGTTCACACACCAGCTTAGGCCACGAGAGCCCACGTGCGGGTCTGTTTGTGCCCCTGCCCGGGTGGGATCTTTCCTTCCCTGCCCCCGCACTCACTCAGCAGACATTTGCTGGGGTGGGGACCCCTCGGCCATGGGGGCCTCTGGCTCGTGCTCACTGGGGACAGAGACCAACAACAGCCCCGGGTCACTGGAAGGGTCGGGGTGTGGGTGCAGGGCGGTGCCCAGGGCCAGGCAGCCAGAGCGGCAGAGGAGAGCCGTGGGGGGCTCTACGCTGTGTGTGCCCAGGGCAGGCCTGCGTTTCAGAAGGAACACCCACCCCCTCACCCCCGCACAAATGAGTGCAGCAGGGATGGAGGTTTGCCTGCGGACCAGAGACGCTTGCCCTGCCAACATTCCCTGTGAGCTGGCAGCAGGGCTGGAGCAGGGCCCTGGGTGCCAAGGGGTGACCTCAGGAAGCTGGGTGACCCTGGGGCAACCGCAGCCACTGTGCAGGTGTGTGACAGATACTGCTGCCGTGCGTGATGGGGGCTCCGTGCCACTGGGTGGGCGTGCAGAAGTGAACACCTGAGGGCCGGGGCCCAAGCATCAGCCCCAGTCCTGTCCCCACGGCTGAGCCACGTCCCGGCATTAACTCCCTCCCAGCCTCGCTGCAGGGTGGGGCTCGGAGAGCAGGGGAGAGATGGGCACTGCAGCCGCGTCCATCACAGCCATGGCCGAGGCCGGAGCAGAGGGCTGCGTGGAGGGGGCCGACCCACCTCTTGGCTCAGCCGGCCTTAGCGTCGTCCTGGGCTGATGCTCCTTGTGGCTGTGACCCAGCAGTCCAGGCCGCAGTCTTCCTCGTCCACAGCTAGCAGGACAGAGAGCAGGAGAAATCTCCCCCACGGTGCCCCTCAGTGTGACGCGCCCTCACCCACCCGACCAAGACCAGAGGGGTGGGCGGGCCAGGCGGTTTAGGTGAAAGGCCTGGGGCGGGTCAGGTGCCGGCTGCTCACCTGTGTTTGAGGGCCGGACCCCGGAGGCCGTGTGGTTTGGGAGGTTTGCCCTGCACACCCCTGGGAGGTGGTAAACCCAACCCACCTCTTGCCAGGGTTCAAGACCTGATCGCTCAGCTGCCCTCTGCCCCGCGCGGCGGGGGCACACAGGACAGCTGAGGGAGGTGTAAGTGGAGAGCTGAGGTTTAACGGGCTCCCGGCCTCCTGGCCTTGGGCCGGGGACTCAGCACCCGGGGCCCACGTGCCCATCTGTACGGGAGAGTGGTGGCCTGCGGGGCAGGCCGGTGTGAGGGCTGAGTCATTTAGGGCTGAGCAGCTGCTACAGGACCGGGCACAGGAGAGCTCTGCAGGAAATGATGCTTATTCAGGAATTTTCAGATTAAGGGCACACCCAATAGCCCCAAATCTTGCTTGTGAAAACCTTTCTGAGTGTCTTGAGCTGTTCCTGCCTGGGTCGGTCCAGTACCCAGGGCCACACGTGAGCAGATCCCCTCTGGCTTGCTGCCCCTCGGACACTGCAGAGTTTAATGGACGCAGGTCCAGGCCTGGGCGTGGAGGGGACACTAGCTCTCAGGCCCCGCCCCGCCCTGCTGTGGACGCTCCATTATCTCCCCTGGCCTTGCTGAGTGCCTGGTACAGGACGCTCTTTCCTGCCTCAGGGCCTTTGCTTGTGCTGGTTTTGCTTCTGGGAATGCACTGGCCCCTGCTCTTCCCTGGCTGCTCCCTCAGGCCTCAGAGGCCTCAGTCCTAACTGAAAACCCCCCTGTCGTGGTTCCTAAGGCCCCCTCTCCACCCCCTCCCCCTTTGAGTTCTTCTAGCACTTACAGCAAACAGCAATGATTCTACTTTTAAAGCATTCTTGTCCCCTGCCTTAGAGTGCCAGCTCCTGCTATAAGGGCTTTGTTCCCACTGTGTCCCTAAGGCTTGGCACGTGCCTGAGACCTGGTAGATGCTTAGTGATCTTTGTTGAACAAATAAACAAATGACAAAGACACTCCTTCAGGAAAGCACAGGAGATGCTGTGAGATGAGGTACGGGCATCTTGCTGACGTTCCCCTGGTTACTAACAATAGGAAGAATAAACGGCTGTCAGTGGACGTCCCACTAGCTGCCACCCAGTTGGTCCAGGCCAACTGTAAATCAGGTTCCGTTGAATTTAGGGGCGCTGGGCCTTGCACAGCACTTTACAGTTGGAAAAGGCCGCCCGTTCTGAGAGCAGCAGCGATGGGCACAGCCAGGGCATTACGGGAGCAGGTGGAGGCCCTCACAGCGTGTGGCATTTGGTCCTCTCAACACCTATGCACCACATCCCTGCACCCACCTTAAGAAGAGGAGATGGGGACCCAGGTCCACGGGTCCTGGGCAAAGCCCATGGCTCCTCCCTCGTGGCTCCGCCCAGTGCGGGCAGAGGACGGAGAGAGGACCCAGGCGACCCCCCTCTCCCCCAGATCATCTACCTGCGGCGGTTCAAGGACCTGCGGACGCTCAGCCTCTCGGGGAACCCGGTCGCCGAAGCCGAGGACTACAGGACGCTCATCTGTGCCTACCTCCCCGACCTGGTGTACCTGGACTTCCAGCGCATCGACGACCACATGGTAGCGTGGCCCTCGTGCGTCCAGCTCCGCGGGTCAGCGTGCAGGCCCCAGCGTCTGGGGAGGGGCGCGTCCACAGGAGGAGTGCAGGGCGGCCCTCCTCGCGGTGCCTTTACTGCCCCCGTCACTGTCGTGCCACCTCCCACCTCGAAGCGGCCGTCTGCTTTTCTGGGTGAACAAGCCGGGGGACCAAGCGAGGGTGGGCTAATTAGCGGGGTCAGCAGCTCAGGGCAGAGTCAGGACTTGCCTCCACGCCACAACAGCTCACGGTAGCGCCCTCTGAGCCGAGAACACCAGCCCCAGAGAGAGGCCCCCGGGACCCCGCGGCCGGGGTGCTGAGCGGGGAGCTGGGCCTGGCGGTCTGGCAGCAGGGCCGGGAGGAAGCCCCCCTCCCCAGTCCACTGCCCAGCCTGGCCTGACCGCCCCTGCCTCTATCCTACTCCCCTGCTGTGAGCTTCCCGCTCTTTGCAGCATGACGTTTGTGGGTGCTTTGCCCCCTGGAAAAAAGAACCCCGCCCGACATGAGGCCTTTGGCGGCAGGACCGGGATATCCCTGCGTGCTGGGCGCGGGCAGTGGGGGGACAGGGACCTGCCCACCCCTCTCCCTGGGAGCTGGTGCCTTTCCTGGGAGAAAGGAGCCTGTGCCTGGGTGGGGCCTGAGGTGATGTGGGGCTCGGGGAGAGCCCAGCGGAAGCAGGGAGGGGGGCTGGCCCCCGGGTCTCAGTGCTGACGCTGCCGTCCTGGCTGCCACACCGCCTGCCAAGCGTGGAGCCCTCCACTCACGGGCGTCTTCCTGGGGGGTCCACGGAGAGCAGCCAGGGGCGGGGTGCCCAGAGAGTAGCCCCTCCTCCGACCATGGCCTTCTCTTGTCCCAGAACAGGACAAGAATCTGAAATCTTGAATTCCAAGACTCTCAAGTCTTTTTTTTTTTTTTTAATATTTATTTACTTATTTGGCTGCTTCGGGCCTTACTTGGGGCACGTGGGATCTAGTTCCCTGACTAGGGAATCGAGCCCGGGCCCCTGCAATGGGAGCGCAGAGTCTTAACCGCTGGACCACCAGGGAAGTCCCAAGACTCTCAAGTCTTATTTTTTGCATTTAGACAATAATTTGAAAGGCAGCGTGGGCTCAAATGCTTGGAATAGGCCGAAGAGCTGCCCGAGTGTATTTCGCTCATCATAAAACCATGCACAGGGACTTCCCTGGTGGCACAGTGGTTAAGACTCCGAGCTCCCAATGCAGGGGGCCCAGGTTTGATCCCTGGTCAGGGAACTAGATCCCACATGCATGTCGCAACCAAGAGTTTGCATGCCACAACTAAGGAGCATACGTACTGCAATTAAGGAACCAGCACAACCAAATAAATAAAATATTTTTAAAACCCCCAAAAAACACCAAAAAAACATGCACAGCCGGACACCGCATGGTTCCCGAGCCCCTCCCCAGCCAGTTTCTCCTCTTCCCCAGAAGATTCCACAGGGGCCAGGCCACCCAGCCTAGCACCCCGTTGTGCTGCGGGAAACAAAGCCTCCCTCCGCAACTCAGAGGCTTTGCCTAGAATCCCTGGTCGAACTAGATCCCACATGCATGTCGCAACCAAGAGTTTGCATGCCACAACTAAGGAGCATACGTACTGCAATTAAGGAACCAGCACAACCAAATAAATAAAATATTTTTAAAACCCCCAAAAAACACCAAAAAAACATGCACAGCCGGACACCGCATGGTTCCCGAGCCCCTCCCCAGCCAGTTTCTCCTCTTCCCCAGAAGATTCCACAGGGGCCAGGCCACCCAGCCTAGCACCCCGTTGTGCTGCGGGAAACAAAGCCTCCCTCCGCAACTCAGAGGCTTTGCCTAGAAGCACCAAGATTTGTAATAAGGGAAAGGTGGTAAGAGCAGAGCCCCACAAAGCAGGGGCACCTGGAACCCCCGTCCATGCTGCTGCCTGTCCCCGGGCCAGCCCCAAGCCCCTCACTTGCTGGTGCTGCCAGGCTCGGGCAGCAGGACAGCCGGGCCCAGCCGAGGCCGGCCAGGGCTGAGGGCAGGCTCTTGCGGTGCCTCCCCATTTCCATCGGGCCCGGGGCTGTGCCTGAAGGCTGGCGCAGCCCTGAGGAACGGTGGACAGTCCCAGCAGAGCACACAAACAGGTGAGTGCTGTGAGCTCGGGGGGCTTTCTGTGTTGGGCGGGGAGACAGGCAGGAGGGTGACGCTGGGGTTCAGGGCTTGTCCTGCTGGGACGGAGGCCCGTGGAGAAGAACCCTGTGGTTTCCAGCAGAGCTTGTGACGTGATGAGCGTTCAGGGACCTGGAAACTGGCATGGGGCTTACGGCATAAGAGGGAGAGGGCGGGGCTGCCCTGGTGGCGCAGTGGTTGAGAGGCCGCCTGCCGATGCAGGGGACGCGGGTTCGTGCCCGGGTCCGGGAAGATACCACGTGTCGCGGAGCGGCTGGGCCCGTGAGCCACGGCCGCTGAGCCTGCGCGTCCGGAGCCTGTGCTCCGCAGCGGGAGAGGCCACAAAAGTGAGAGGTCCACGTACCACAAAAAAAAAACAAAAGAAGAAGTCAAAACTTAAGTTTTCATAATCTGTGTATTTCTAGCTTCAGTATCATTGATGGCCTATAGCTTCTACGGTTAGGGAAGGGATATTAAAGAGGGAGAGGGCAGGGCATGCAGGCCACCGCCCTGAGAGAGAGGAGGGGGAGGGGCGGGGGTGGGGGGAGCAGATACTGGAGCACAGAGGGTCGGCGGTGCTCGTACCTGAAGCCTTAGCACAGGTGATGTCACCTGGGGCTCCAGCAGCCCCCAGCGCAGGCAGGGGGATACGCAGGGCGGGTAGCGGAGGGCCAGAGCGGGCAGGGCCCAGAGCCGAGGGCTGAGACCTCGTGCCCAGGCCTGTGGCTCGGGCACCCACTGCACCTCTCCCTTTTGCAGCCCTACAAGAGGGCCAGCGCCCGGCCGGGGAGGCCTGGGGGAGCGGTCGAGTCTGCGCTGGGCGCCTCCACCCCAGGGACGTCCCGCGGACCCTCGGCCTGCCCGTGCTGCTTACCCCACTGATTTCTGAGGCTCAGAACACTGGGCAAGGGCGGCGGGGAGGGGATCCCCGCCCACGCGGGAGAGGCCACGGCACGGCAGAGGCCAGCGTCTAGGAGGGACCCCACGAGCCCGGTGACGGTGCCGCTGCCCATCCTCCAACAGAAAGAGCTGGCGGAGATGAAGCACCGGTGCAGCGTGGACGAGCTGAAGCACCAGGAGAGCCTGACGCGGGCCCAGCTGCAGGACGAGCAGGCCCGGTGGGAGGGGCTGGAGGGGCACAAGGTAGGAGACCGGTGGGAGGACCCGCCCCGCCCCACGATGCTGCCATGAAGGTCAGCAGGGCCCAGGCCCCCAGAGCCTGTCCTGTGATTGAGGATAGCTGGTGCCCAGGGCTGCTGGGCTGCCAGAACCTCAGTCAGGGCAGCACACGGACCTGCCCCTCCTCATCCCACAGCCCCCAGGCCCCCCTCCAGCACAAGGGCCGGGGACTCTGAGCAGCCCCTGTCCTTAAGAACCCTGGCTGGTTCCTGGCGGCGGGGGTGGGGTGGTGGGGGTAGGGGGACAGCCAGAAAAGCTCGTTCCTCTCCGTGGTGCCTCTCCTCCGGCCGGACCGAGCTGGGCACCCTTCAGTTTTCTGCTTCTGGACCCCCGCCTGTGCCGGGCCCATCGCCTGCCCTTCCCCAGCCTGCCTTCCTGAGGGCCGGGCGCCCTTGGCCCCGGTGCCCAGCGCAGGGCCCTGCCCAGGGAGCCCACCGTGTCTCTGACCGCAGGCGGCCTTCGTGGAGCACCTGAACGGCCCCTTCCTGTTTGACAGCATGTACGCCGAGGACGTGGAGGGTAGCCAGCTGTCCCACCTGCCCGGCGTGGGCGAGCTTGTGCAGACATACCCTTCCGGGTCACGGCCGCCCCCAGGGCCTAGGCGCGGGAGTCCGGGGGGCTCCCCTTCCACCCAGGGCCTCGAGAACCAGGTCGGCTGTGAGCGCAGGGACACACGGGTATCTGGTCAGCAGGGCCCAGGCTGGCAGAGATGAGGGCTGGCTGACCGTGTCTGTGACTCTGACCCTCATTACCTTGTTTGTGGGCTCCTGCCGTGCGCTTTGCATGCAGCATTTAAAACTGTTTCAACCACCCCATGGGGTGGGTGCTATACTGGACCCCAACTACCTTCTCGCAGCTGGGGAAGCTGAACTTGGAGAGGGTGAATTGTCCAGACTGTGCAGTCAGGAGCTGTGGGCTGAGCCTGCATCCCGTCCCCCAGAGGATGTGATGGGCGCTTGTCATCGTGGCTGAGGGACTCAGGGCAGACACCGAGCAGGGGCCGCGAGTCTCGGAGAGACAGCTGGCCCTGAACGCGCACAGCTCAGCGGAGTGCGGGGGGTCGGCCCTCCTCCCAGCCCGGCCCTACGCCGCAGCCCCCCTGACCTCAGCACCTAAGCGGCCCTCGCGTGGCAGGCGCTGCAGATGTGGGACCCTCGGCCCAGAGCGGCGAGGAAGCCATAGAAGCAGCTGCAGGGCCAGGCCTTGAACCCGGGGCTCTCTGCCCCGAGCCTGCGGTTCCCTGACCTCCGCAGCCTCCCTGTGCACCTGTGGCCACCGAGCAACAAAGACGGCCTGGACAACAGGGCCCCAGAGACAAAAGCACACACTGCTCAGCTCCCTGGCCGCTCCCCCCTCTCCGGGCTCCTGACCCCTTCAGGTCCCCCGGGGGTCTCTGCTCTGTCGCCCCACCCCCACCACGCAGGACCCTCCCTGAATCCCTCAGGCTCAGGCTGGAGATGCCCAACCACCGATTCATACTCCAAATCCCAACTGCAGCTCTGCTACGGTGGCTGCTTCCACCCCCACGTGCGCCCCCCAGGCAGCCGTGAGCTTCCTTAACGGCCACTCACCTACAAGGACAAGTTCGTCATCATCTGCCTGAACATCTTCGAGTTCGGCCTGAAGCAGCAGGAGAAGCGGAAGGCGGAGCTCGACACCTTCATGGGGTGTGTCCAGGAGGCCGTCCAGGAAAAGCAGGAGCAGGGCAAGCACAAGATGGCCAAGTTTGAGGAGAAGCACCTGCTGGTAGGCCCCGCCCCAGCCCCTCCCTCCTCCTCCGGGTGCCCAGCCGCCAGAGGCCCAGCCCCTCCGCCTCTGACGACACGAGACCCACGGGGCAAGCCGCTTGCTTTCAGGTCAGGCTTGATACCGACCGGGAAGGAGCCTGATCTTCCTCCAGATGGGGTGGCCATGACCACAAACACCCTTCGCCCCCCAGTCACGCCTGGTCACTCCGCTGACACCGCATCTGCTGGCCAAGGCCCCAGGCCCCTCGTCGGTGAACAGCTGGTACCGGGTGCGGCTCGGACGCCCGCGCTCTCCAGCCCACGAGAACCTCTCATTGCAGACGGACCTGGCAGCTACTTGCACACGGGGTGCTGCGGGGGTCCAGTTGGCTTCCCCCAAGACTGGGCCCACCTTGTGTTCCAACCTCCCCCGCAGAGCCCCGCTGGGCTGAGTCAGCCCATGGTGAGCCAGGGCCTCACAGACAGCGACCCATCCCCAGGCTTCGTGAAGCTCAGGCTCTCTGCCCCTGCACCCGAGGAGACGGGAGTCACTCGAGGTCCCACGGTGACCCAGCCGGGTCCCAGTTCAGGTCCACGTGACTCTGAAGCCATCGCTCCTTCCACGCCTAATAACTCACCAGCTGGTGGGGCCTCTGCTCTGACAGCCTCTGCCGTGGAGGGGGTGGAGCTGACGCTCGGACTTGGGCAGTCCGACCCCATAATCCAAGTTCCGACCCACAAAACCAAACTGCCGCCTGTCACTTCAGGAATTACACTTAACTGTGGATTCCTAAAGCACAGGTTTTGTTTCCAGAGTTTAAGCTCCCTTCGAGACGAGTCTGAACTGACCAACTTCGAGATAAAGATGGCAGAGCACAGCGAGGACATCACCGAGCTGGTCAACGTGCTCATGACGCTGGAGATGCAGCTGGTGGAGCAACTGGAGGTTAGGTGGGGCCCAGGGAACACACGTGACGCGACGGCCCTGCCCAGCTCCTGTGCAAGAACCTGGCGAGGGAGCACCTTCCCGGGAGCTACTCGGCGGGGCACACGAAAGCTTTCTGTGCTTCTGGTGCTTTTCAGTCATTGAGATGACAGGTGACCCTCGTGCAGCATGAGAGGTGAGCTCGTTCCTCTGGAACGGTCTCCCCATCTAGGAAGAGTGCAGAACCGCGGCAGGGAGAGTTTTTTATTAGACCCAAGGAACTGTCGAGAAACAAAATGGACCCCGCTCTTCACCGCCCCCTCCGGGATAGAACGAAGGCTCCCGGCACTGCAGCCTGTAGTCACTGCATCTCGGGGCGAGCGAGGAGCCTAACGGAGTGCTGCTACGTGAAACCCGGGGCCGCCAGACCGACCTGTGCAGTTTGTTTACCAGGCAGCTGGCGGCCGAGGCCGGGGCCTGCAGAGCAGTGACGAACAGAACCTCCCACCTGCTGCCGTGGCCGCCCCCCCCCCCCCCCCCTGCCGATGCAGGGGACAAGGGTTCGTGCCCCGGTCCGGGAAGATCCCACATGCCGCGGAGTGGCTGGGCC